ACAGTTACCACTGACCATCACGCTCTATGCTGGCTTTCAGCCCTCAAAGATCCAACGGGGCGCCTTGCTCGTTGGGCTCTGCGCCTCCAGGAATTCACATACACAGTGGTTTACAAGTCTGGCCGTTTACACCAAGACGCCGACTGCCTCTCTCGGTACCCCGTTGACGCTCCAGATCTAGTAACCGACGACGCGTCCATCTGTATTTCCTCGCTCTCTGCTTTCGGCAACATGGGATGTGAGCAACGGCGTGACGCGTCCCTACGCGAGCTAATCGACCGCCTGAACACAGGCTGTACAGACAGTTCGCTTCGCATGTTCGTTGTCATAGACGGCATTTTATACCGCCGCAACATGCACCATGTGGGAAACGAACTACTACTCGTAATACCCACTCATTTGCACTCGACCGTACTTCAGCAACTACATGATGTACCAACGGCTGGCCACCTTGGTGTTGCCAGAACGTACGACCGTGTCCGCCGACGCTTTTTCTGGCCCGGCCTCTACCGTTCTGTACAACGTTATGTTAGGTCTTGTGAGTCGTGCCAACGCCGCAAAAGGCCAGCGGTACACCCCGCCGGGCTCCTTCAACCGATCGACGTACCTGCCGAGCCTTTCTATCGTGTCGGCCTCGACCTGCTGGGCCCTTTCCCTCTTTCTACCGACGGTAACAGGTGGGTCGCCGTCGCCATAGATTACTCGACCCGTTTCGCAATTACGAGACCTCTTCCAAGCAGCTGCGCTACAGATGTCGCCGACTTTTTGATTCAAGACGTCATCTTACATCATGGCGCTCCTCGTCAACTGGTCACCGATCGCGGTCGCTACTTTTTATCTAAGGTAATTGACGATCTACTTCGTTCTTGTGCAACCAAGCACAAGCTTACGACGGCCTACCATCCTCAAACGAACGGCCTCACAGAACGTCTGAATCGCACGCTCACTGACATGCTCGCCATGTACGTGTCGACGGATCATCGTGACTGGGACATTGCGCTACCCTTTGTCACTTTCGCTTACAATAGCTCACGCCACGACACTGCTGGATATTCTCCCTTTTACCTTTTGTATGGAAGAGACCCGACATTGCCGTTCGACACGCTTGTACCCAACCCTGCCGACCTGTCCACAGCATATGCTCGCCGCGCTATTAGCACCGCGGAGAAAGCCCGTCAGATTGCCCACCAGCGCCTTTCGGACTCGCAGCTCCGTCAGAAACGTAGCTATGACAGCCACCATCGGGACGTCCACTTTAGTCCAGGTGACCTCGTTCTTCTGTGGACTCCGTCGCGACATGTTGGTCTGGCTGAAAAGCTTCTACCCAAGTATTCCGGACCTTATCGTGTGCTACGGCAGGTAACTGATGTTACCTATGAAATAGCACCTCTAAACCCTTCGATACCTTCCACATCTTCCGACATCGTCCACGTCGCTCGCCTCAAGCCGTACATCTCGTCCAACACCTGCTAACAAGCGCCGGGTCGGCGCTTTTCGCCGCCGGAGGTCGATGTTGCGGGTTCGCGGCTATGCAGCTATGCGGGCGGTGCGAAGAAGAAGACGACGACGTTTTTGGGCTGTTCGAAAATACACAACGGCTGCCATCTTGACTGCTGGAGTACTTTTCTACTCTAAAGTAGTAAATACATTCGCAACAATATTGATACTAAATAGAGCAAGCAAACTCGAAAATTGTCAAGGAAGTATTTAGACAAGAGCCGAATACCAAGCGAAAAGGAAACATCGGCTAAGAACAAGGTGAAGAAAACAGAGATGGACTTGTGCAAGGTTGGAATGCTTACGACATCATCACTGGATACCTGCCGAACTTTCCAGCAGGAAATAGCAAAAGAAATGATCTACGATAATTCTCGGGGTATATTTCAGGTGTTCGAGGCCAGAACTGGTGTATTGCGAACAACGACGTACCGACCTAAATACAAAGGCACAGACACTGTATGTAGTGCGTGTGGACAGGAGGAAAAAAAGGCTAAACTTTTTATACTGTTCTGTAAAGGGCTCCACATTATGGTCCAAGTTAATGGTGAGAAAGTTTTCAAAGTATAGGGGTTTAAGGACAGTGAAGGCAAAACAGACTTTAAATGATTAGTAATAACTAGGAGGGGGATAACTGATTGGTGGCTACAATCAAGGTGCGAGTGAAATTTCAACACATAGTAATAATACTTAACTTTACGGCTAGGTGGCGTGAGCCACCACCGGATCTAAAGGGCACAGCCGGATACATCCATCCATCCATCTATCCATCCACCCAGAGCGTTGTTGAAGAATCTACGTTCTTTCAGTGACGCTCACAGGCTACGTTTGCTCAACCATATACTCTGGTATCTCGTCTCAACCGCATTTCATGCTGAGTTCAGTGGAATAAACTTTATTTGCCAAGACGTTGTGCCCGGGACCACGCTTCTAGAGATTCACTGTTGAAGGAACATCTTACGAGGTACTTCGTGATGGACCTGGCCCGCTGGGTGACCCACTCCTAGTCTTCAGGAGACCAGATGAACATGACAGCTTGTCATGACTCAGGAGACGACTGGCCATCACTGAGTAGTCCGCGCCGTTTGAGAGGATTATTGGGTGCACTTAATAATGTCTTACCAACTAGCCCCCAACATATGCTCCTAGAATTCATCGCTGAAGAACAGTAGAACCACTGGTTGGCACTTAGAGCTTTCCCGTTACCTGCAAGTGCATACTTATATATTTGCTTATTTGTTTCTTCATTCAAGAATATTGTCAACCCTATTGCCGAAATTGGGAGAGAGCTTGGAATAAAATGGAAACGATCAAGACTCACGGAAACGAAATACATCAAGATCAAGTGGCACACTTCTATAGGCACTCTTCAAAAGTTCATTCGAATTGAGAATGCAATCTCTTGCCCAACACACACTGGCAATTCATTGCACACTTCCAATAGGCCTTCACGTGGCTCCGGGTCCCGTATTGTGGTCCCTCCATTTTCGGGCAAACCCAAGCAACCAGGCCAGCCGGCCATGCGGTTTGGCACTCGTACAGTCTTTGTGATTTCGCAGGAAGGATGAACGTTTCGGTTTCGTACCGCGGACAAACCTTCCAGTCCTGGTCTAAACCTCAATAGATCGCAGTGTGGTGGCTGTTCTACTACTTACGACACCACGACAGGTACCTGTCGTCTTCAGACGATTTGACACTGCAGCGATTCAGGCCAGCCATAGCCCCGGAAAGAGACCAGTGGCCTCGTGAATACTCGGCCTCCGGTGTGGCGCTCTCTGGGTTCATTTGGCCTCAACGAGCATGGAAGCGCGGTGGCCCGCCGCGCTCGACCCGGTGCTAATCTTACCCGCATTTACCGCAAGTGCACACGATATTGTTGCAGTGCTTAGAAGGGATTCTGATTTAGAGGCGTTCAGTCGTAATTCCACGGATGGTACCTTTGCACCACTGGACTCTCGACCAGGCACGTGAACTAAGTGTCCGAATCTGCAGTTCCTCTCGTACTGAGCAGAATTACTATCGCAACGACCAGTCATCAGTAGGGTAAAACTAACCTGTCTCACGATGGCCTAACCCAGCTCACGTTCCCTATTAGTGGGTGAACAATCCAACGCTTGGCGAATTCTACTTCGCAATGATAAGAAGAGCCAACTTCGAGGGATAAAAAAGCGACATCGCTATGAACGCTTGGCCGCCACAAGCCAGTTATCCCTGTGGTAACTTTTCAGACACCTCTTGCTCACAACCCTTAAAGCCAAAAGGATCAAGGGGCCCCGCTTTCACGGTCTCGAATCGTACTAGGACGGAGAAAAAAAAGTTCCTCGGCTAATTGTGCTGAGAGCTATAAGCTTGGATTTCCCGATTATAGAAAAAAATTGAAGCAATATGTGAAGTAATCTAATCAAAACCAGTGAGCTAATCAAACAAATTAAAAGGCCCTAAATATTCCCAAAACTAACGCAAATTAGCCATATTTCGAGTCATGTGCACTGTTACTTGCAATCGTATTGCCAAGTTACGAATTATTACTATATGTATTACGCAGGCTAAAATTGTTTATAGAAGAATGCAGAAACACAAGATGACATGCATTTTGCGAAAGTTATTTTCAGCTGACCTGTAGCATGCTCTGCGTTTTCGAAGAACAAGAACAACACTACGGGTCAACTGGAAGCGAGATGCACGTTTATGCTTTTGTTACATTATTCACTTATTAGGGTTATGAAAAAAGTCGCCTTTGTTCTTTCGCAAAATATTCGAGATGCGATTGCAGGTAAAAAGCATATGTTCATGTCGTTACTATACTTGAGAATGTTTGTGGTATTTTTAGGGCGCAACTACACTGTAGCTTTTCAAGGTACTACTAAATTTAAATCAAAGAGATCACCTTGCGTCACACCATTTAGCAAGGCTACATGCCCAATGCGTGAGACATGCCAGCAAGTGAATCAAGGCAAACCACTTTCAAAAAGTCATAATTCTCATTGTAGCTATTTTCGAATCTTCTGAACTCACACTATCGGCCAAATCAAAAGCAGTCACTGTAGCCCAGTACAATATATGCGTTTGTGATTCCATTTTGGTCAATAAAGTTTTATAATACGCTGCTGTCGTACCGTAGGTGGCGTGCACGTGAACGTCTTAACCCGAATGAACTCCTAAGACGACATTTTAGGCAAATATGACGCAGAGCACAATTTAGCAGTGGCTCCAGTTTTAAAACGTTGGAGTAAAAATTTTACTCACTTTTTTTCGCGCACAGCCTCGTCTCCACTTTCTTTTGCCATCCAGCCTTAAAATAAACGCTTCTTGTCATGCAACATTGTGGTAGGTGTGTTTATTAACATGAACCTCAGAAGCTCTTCTGCCATTATTCCGTTGCAGTCACCACTGAGCAGGTTTCCCGCCTTAACAACCCGACATTGTTTGCTGACGTTGACTCTGCGACAACAACACCTGCTCCTTCTCTGACTTATATGAATCCACACTCTTACGAAGAAAAGTCTCGGGAAGACGCCAATGAGTGGCTTTTACTTCACAAATTTGGGAGCAAGAGCAGTAAACGGGATTCAAACTATTCACTTACAAAGGTGGTGTGTTCATTGTGGCTGCACGAAGGGCTTCTTGGTATTTATAGTATTCAATGTATAGCGCATCAGGACGGGACAGGGCATAGGATGCTTAACATAGCGCTGTGTTTTTGGCACACCGTTTTATTTGCATTACATGTTTTCAAAATTCTTGTTTCAAGCTTAGTAGTCACCGCAGGTTGCTTTGTCGTAGAGAGAAACACCGTTTGCACAGAGAGTGGCATGCTTTTTAAAGCATTTCTTCGACACAGTGTGTTTCATGGTGTTTCGAACCCACAAGGTACATTCTGTAAGCAGGAAAAAAAATGGAACAGGTTCGTAAACGACGTTGAGTGGTCGACATTTGGAATGACCAAACAACGAGAAATGGCATTGGAGGGGGACTTTGGGGTTAATACAAATTCATATTATTGAACAGTGATGACGCGTGTGAGGTAACCACGTGTATTATTGTTGTTATTGTTTTCCTTTGCTTATGGCTCTAACCCTATGGAGGAAATTGGCTGAATATAAGGTGAATTGTAGAAAGTGTATCAGGTTTATTATGTGATGATAGTGTGTATTGTGTATCAGATGCTTGTGTAGTTTTTTTCTTCTTTGTGTGTAGTGCATCGCTCTTAATATTTTCAAATCGAATGCTGTTAAACTTCGTTGCTTGTAAGCGCCTGTCCTATTTTCATCCAAAACGTTCTTTGTAATTTTACATGCTGAAAATCACAGACAAAGGGCTATAAAGTTCCACCCATAAGAAATATTCAAGAAAGATCTGGTGTCTCCCCATGTAGTAGCGACCACATGCCGAGAAAGCAGATTGAATAGATGCATAAATTGAATATTCTTGGTATTGAACGCTTCACTGAATAAATAAATCAGTATCGCATGCCAAGATGACAAATTTGTACATAGAATAAAGGGTGACATTGTATGCGTCTACTTGGGCGGTTCATCGTGCCGGAATATATGACACTGTCACTGCACTTGCAACGATACAGGTATGCGACCAGCCTGTTTTGCAGTATTTGTCAAAAGAAAGCGTAATATATTTCGTGAAACTGAATTGAGAACAGATACTGTATTACCACGTGGGAATGAAACAGAACGTTTCTTCACATGAGAACTGAACGTCGAGCCGAACTTATCCCCAGACAGACGAGCTCGTTTGTTTGTTTGTTTCCTACACTGATGGCTCGTACCTACTCAGGGGGATTGGCCAAGAAAGCGTAGTGCAGTTTTTCTGTGATCAATTTAACTATGTGTAATGAATTCGTATTATATTATGAATATTGTAAGGAAAATCACCTAAAAAGAGAGCAAACGAGAAAAAAATAAAAAATTCAAGTTTAGAAATTTTGAGATTTCAGGTGTTGTGATTACCACTCAGCTGCGTTTTCTTCACTTTGCCATTTAGACTTTTTTTTGGGGGGGGGGTAGTCATAAATAATAATTATTTGGTTGAAAATCACAAAAATATACGTTTTGATGCCTGAATATAATCGCAAACGGCATTGAAAGCTTTGCCTTTGGCAATGTTCCAAAACTGAGGCACCAAGGCTTTGTGCAGTTTCCGCCGTCAATTTAACGCCTATTTTCAGAAATGGAATAACTAGTAACCTTTTTTGAAGTATAGCGTATCGGCGACCATACAAAAATAATGTTCTTGTGATTCCATTTCTCCGCAGAATGCACAGAGGGGTAATATTGTCTGACCAGCTCCGTGTAGATACAGGTTTAGGGGGGGGGGGGGGACACGACATCAAAATTTAGTAATTAAAACTTCGAGTTTTCTGAACTGGCTCCAGTGGGGTCGCCATGGAAGCTTGAGGTGGTTATATGCTGTCCATGTAGTTACTTTTTCTATCTTATAAGTGGAGATTGGTGATTTTCGATATCCCATTGCTGTAATATATTCAACATCTGGCAGTATGGATAAACTCATCGGGTAGTTTTCTACTTTGTCCTCTCTTAGGTACTCGTTACAAAAAGCAAGTACTTCAGAAGTGTACACTGAAACAGCCTTTATAGTATATTTTGCATTTTTATTCGTGAATATTACCTATCTCCGCTTGTATTCTTCAACTATCGACAAATCACCGCATAATTACCTGCGGTAATAACAACCTAGCGTTAAACACCTTGTTTTGCCGAAATGTAGGTGTCGCGTTAGCTGGCGTCATAGTAGGTGGTGAGTCATAGATCGAAAATTGATGCATAACATACGTAAAAAATGATCTAGGGCTTCTTTCACAAGCAGGTGTTTTACCACCACTTAAATTGGTGTTTTAGCACAAGTTTCCAAAAAAAGAAAACAAAAAGAACCGCGAATGTCAAGATGTCCAAACAGTTTGATTGATGTAATATTGCAAGCCAAAAGCATAACATTTGACCAAGCATGAATTTTTATGAATTTAGCAAAGAATGTGTGATTTAGAAGCCAACATATGACAATGCAATCATGCATTTTAATCAGAAATATTGGTAACAGAATCGGCAAAGTGACCACGTGCCCAGTTGGGTATGCTGCCTGACAGTTGCGTAGTGGCTATGTTGCGAATGAGTAAAAACAGGAAAAAAATGTTGCCATGCTAGGAAACTCTCAATATTTTTTTACACATTCTACTGCCACATGTTTCCAGACTGATGCCCGCGGTTGGTTGCGCATTTCTTTGAGAATCGTCTTAATCATGATCATCAACTGTACTTCAGTAAGAATTGCAGTACAGTTTGAAAAGGCCTGTGCTACGCGCAGGCATTCCTGTTTTTTGGTCTGGCTGAGGTGTCCATTTTGTAGGCAGTGTGAAGCTAATGATTCACAAGGCGATGCGAACTAGGCTTGAATACACTATCGCTTTCCACTCTCGAAGGCGAAGCTAGAGTCTCTCATATTTAGAGCGTTAACAAAAAAATGTATGTTAAAAAAAACGAAACAAATGATCGCTATGACGGGCACTTTTGAACGAGCTGCCGAGAAAAAAACACAGCAGTTTTGATAAAGAAAGAATTGTAAACTGCAGAGAAAGCAATACAGAAGAGGGCACTGTACATTTTTGACAGATTGAATTCCCGCTACGAATGACGACCTCATGTGTCTGATCATTGTAGGTGCCACTGCAAGTGTGAATTTACAGTGCACTACAAAATAGCACAACTTGCTCGACCACGATAGAATGCCTCGATGCGTCCCGCAAACATGCATCAAGGCGCCCTAGACGGCAGGAGTAGGGGCGCATGAAGTAAAAATGCGCTATTCATATTTTTCTCAGAACTGCCGTAAAAATGTGAAGTTTGCTTTCGAAAGCGTATACTCAAAGAAAAATGCTGCTACAGCTGTTTACTGTTCGACAAACTTCACAGGCATTCAATGGCACATATCATGTGATTTACCAGCTGGTGTCGCGATCCTGCATAGTGGGAGCCAAGAATCACGTGAATGATTTATTTGGCTAGAGGTAACACCTGTAATATCACTAAATATTTGAACTTAATGTTAAGTTTGTCTGTTCAGGGCTGCATGCCTAACGCTTTAAGTTCATTTTGTTTTTAGATGCGGAAGCATCTTATACTCGCGCCTGGTAGTGCGCCGTCCGCGCCGTCCGCACCGCTTCTCGAACATTCGACAGCTGACGCGCGCGCATGCGCCGTCGCGCCGTCGCCCACTCTTCCACCATCTGTGCATCCCTTCCTCCTCTACACACCGCGCGCGCTTCACTCCTCCACCATCTGTGCACCCTTCCTCCTCTACACACCGCGTTCGACATCTACAATTCTCCTGATTCTCCAGTGGACGCGCATGTGGCGTCGCGCTTCGAGAACATTCAACAGCTGACAGTGCATGCGCCGTCGCGCTGTATATATACTCAAGGTCGGCGCTCGCTCGCTCAGTTGCCGCTCGTCGGTTGGTTGTACGGCGCGTCGACGTCCAAGGTCGCGGTGAAATGAATTCCAACGAATCCACAAACACAATGATCGACGTCCCTTCGACCAGCGCCGCCCTTTCGCATACGTGTGTACGTGTTCACTCATTTAACACCCCCTCCTACAACCACGTTAACCAATTTAGCCATCGACCCAAGTAAGTCGCAATTTAACACCCCATTTCACAACCACGTTAACCAATTTAGCCATCGACCCAAGTAAGTCGCACTTTAACACCCCGTTAACCAATTATATGCTCCGCATCCTCCTCAGTGTTCCCCCGAGGGAAGCTGCGGGCAATTTTTTTTCCTCACCCAATTTAATTATAATGTTCTTAATTGCCTTCTTTTTTCTTGAACATGCAACCGATAATTTTTTGAACATATTTGGTGAATCAATTGCCTTTTTGTGTTTCTAATTAAAAGTCATCGCCAATCCTGGGAATGTTCCAACTATGTAAAATTTAGTGTTTCAAAACATTTTCTGAGGTCTATAGAAAGATTGAAGGGTGCTGTGGCACCAGAATATCCACACAAAGATCTTGGTTTTGCGTCTGGAGAAAATGAGGAAACCTAGACATTCATGAAAGCAATATGCATAAATATCCAGCTGTCCAGCTGTGATTTAATCATAACCGCCACTAATAAATATGCCTCTGATTCTAGGAGTTGCTCCGAGCTCATTTTCTGATGCGGGGAAATTATAGCTACCTTTGTCCAAAAAAAAGTGCACTTTTTTTTCCTCAACTGAACAGATAATCATGTCTGACTTATGTAAGGCCGCGTCATGATGCTGAATTGTTGCATTACGAAAGATAAAATTAAAATGAACCCTTTATGGCCTGGAAATCGATGTGGATTCGCATGCGGATGTGCGACATAATTCTCCAGCATAACCTCTCCTGTACATAAGGACTGTCGCAGTGCTAATGTGATATTTTAAGCGCCCCAAACCTTCGAGCGCTCTATGAAGTCGCCATTGCGCTGGCCATTCTTCCATTTCTTATTAGCTCGCACGTTAAGCTGGCCGCCGCAGAAATTTCAGTCTGGGCAGTGTGTAAGAACAAATTAGGAACTGACACTTGCCACTCCACGTAGGGAGAGGGCATGGGTATTTTTTTTCGCCGATGATCTTGATACACGAGTAGTTTTCGTTGCGAGGTGAGATGGCGCTATTTTATGGGGTGCCAGGTATTCGCGCGTTCAGCGTTCATTTTGCAATCGCGCGCAAAAGAACATCTTTCTGAAGGCTTTGTGTGCATGGTCGTTGGCGGTATTATCTATTGGGGGTGCAAACAAGGGTTGCATCAAGGCTGGGGGAGGATGAAAGCACTAATATAGCATTGCGTGAGGGCAAGTTCTAGTGAGGATTGAGGGCAAGTGCCCCTTTCGCAACACCTTGCAAACGCCAGTTGATGTGTGCATGAAATTTTGTGGTTTAACACCGCAATTACTTGTGCCTGTGATCACTGCCAGTGCATTTTTTTCGCTGATTCGCCCATTGGGATTCAGTGCACGTATACCTTAACGATGCATATGACTCCAAGTACACATCAGAGGCCTTGTCGCTGGCTGCGTCTCAAAATGGGCTGTTGCATTGTGTTTTGTCCCGAATTGCCAGACGAGGTATCGAACTTGTACGGAGCGTGTGGTGCTTTTGAAGGCTGCGCGTGAACTGGAGCACTTGGATAAATGGCGACCGGCAATTCCGAGAGCTGGCAGGGCCTTGCTGCCTACTGACCATGTGTGCGCCAAGAATATCATGGAAGAAGCGATATGTGGCACATATCACAATATTACAGGGGAATGTCCTGTTGCACGCGTCAAAGAAACTCACGCTCACTTCAGATGATTTGCCTGCCAGTCACTGGGCTGCCTAAAATACCCCACCGCACAGCAGAAAACCAAGAAAGCTCGGCAAAAAACACTGTCTCTACTGCCGACTTTTCAGAAGCCATGGGGGCCAAAACGCGCTACTGCATCTGAAGTGTCCACTACTACCGCTGGAAGTACGCCTAATTGTTTGCGCGTGTAGACAGCGACTCCACAGCATGTATATGATGAACATCAATAGGTACGCATACAAAAGGCAGTGCTTATTCTTCTTCAGCAGCGACTGGTCTCTTCTACGTCAAAAGAAGGATGCTTCTCGAAAAGACACTGGTAGCGTAGGCCTATATACTAACGACTCAGTTCCTCATCACGTTGGAAAAGTAACCTCTTGTTTTAAATTGGGATGCACTTTTTTTAGCTGTCTCATCTACACATACTTGGACCAAGAAAAAATAAATGTTGTAGAATAACCAGGGAAGAGGAATCAGTGCACATATCCGTTTCTGTGATGTCACCGAATTTTCTTCTACGTTCACCATTTTAACCTGCTTATAATTAGTTTACCATGCTCGATGACGTCATTCCAAATTTTTTTGTTCTTTCATGTCTCTACCACTTCTTTGTAACCGTCTTGCAACATTAAAGGTGCACTTCCGATTACAGTATTTACGGCATAACATATGGTTCATTAGGGCGAAGGCCTTCAATAGCTTAAGTACTGCCTCAAACGCAAAATGCGTCGTATGTTTGTCGGTGGTTTAATGGACGAGCTGCACAAAATATACTTTTACGTAGTGCGCTCATTTTCACTGTTCGATAAGCCCTTTACTAAATTGAAGTTTGCGCAGCCTAGGAAACAGTACAAAGTATGACTGATCGCACTGGCCCGACAGTCTCGACATGTGTGTGTTACGGGTTAACTTATAACACACACATGTCGAGAGTCGACCTTCGGGACCCAATGCAGTTCTGACTGCTTACACTGCCAGAGGCAGAAGTGGAGTCATATGCGCGACGTTAACAGCAACACTGGCAAGGTAGCGTGTTGATTTAAGTGCTTCATAGAGTGCTTAAATTTTATGGTGCACTTGTTGAAAGTTTTCTGACGACGTTTTTGTTCATTTTGCTGCAACCAGAACTGCAACCAGAACGTGACAGCGATATGCGCGCGCACGCGATCGAACACGCTCACGCACGCAGGCACACATCACATATACGCACAAACCCACGCACGCACGCAGACTATCGCCTGCTTTATAAATTGCATGCCTTTGCCATCGGACTGCTATCCTTAATGCAAACCCCTCAGATTTTCTCACAGACAACGCTGCTTCTTTGTTCTGAACCAAAGATATTGACGCCGATACCGCCGACCCGGAATATCACCGAAACGAGCTTGGTCAAAATGCGGCCTCTCTCTAGAGCACGTTTGCTGCTGTCGGAGTATTTATATGACGAAAGCACTGTTTGTAATTAGGCTGCATATACGCATAAAATTACGAAATCTGTTTCGTTAGAGCAGAAACACATTGGCATCCATGTAGTGTATATTGAGTATAATCAACAAGCGAGGCTTCACAGCAATAACCTTCATGCGGATTGGAGCGAGGCCCTAGTGAGCGCCTTGGCCCACCTTCTGTGAGCACCAGCTGTCGCATCAAACGGAGACAGCGCAAGCGGCCAACATAATCTGAACGTGGCACCGGGCGCAGTCTCATCTCCTAACCTATTCTTACACCGTGGTCTGGGGCAAAGTCAGATCACTTTAGAAAGGCGAATTTCCAAGCTATAGAACATTCCATTCTGATAGTTTCTTTTTTCTTTTCTACGGAGGTCTGTGCTACAAAAGAGTGGATGGAAGTGGAAGGAAATACGACAGAAGTAATATTTGGAAAGAATGGTGAGGCGTCCTTGAGGCCTGGTGTCATGAAATAGAAGCCAGGCTGGCTGCCAGTTGGCCACGACCTTTGTTACCGGTCCTTCAGACAGGCTATGCTGAGGTGGTTCGCAGATTTTAGAGGGGAATTCTACGCCTTTCATGTATAAACTGATGTTTTCTGTAACCCTATATGTTGTGGTTTGACTGACTCCTTTCTTTATATCGTAAATACTGCTAGCTGGTAATATATAGAATATAACTGGAAGAGCGGGAGAGGTTCGTAATAGTTAATGTTATAAACCTGCAGATTGCCGTAGCTGAAATTTACTAAGCGAACGGTTGAGTTGAAAAATAGTGGAAGCATGAACATATTCGTTTTGATACCCCATGCGCCGCTTTGCTTCTTTCGACCGCAACTGCTTTGCCAAATTCTACCATTTACATCAGGTGAGCATGTCCAACTTCCAACAATCCTAAAGCTAGCATTAACTGTGTAGCACCTAGCGGTGAGAACAAGTGACCGTGAAGCGTCGTATGTATAGACTTGCCGGTTCAGTGGTTCTTCTAGTACAGATTCCGTTCTATCTAGCTTTCTCACAACATAGATCATGCTGATAACATATCTGACTTCATCATGATCAAACGTAATTTGCCTACCTAATTAAAATAGGTAAATTCGACAAAACATAGGCAGTTGTCAGATATATTGCTTGCAAGTACAGTGTATATATTGGACGTTTGTACTTATGGTATGTGATAGTCTGAATACTAGAATAACAGTTACATGATGTCACTAATATCCTACTATGTGAGCGTTTTTTTTTTGTCTTCAGCCTTGAGGCCAAGGTAGCATTATAAACCGGGGCATAGATGGTTCTTCTGGCGTTGTTGTTTTGATCGTGATTTTTAAATTTGTATGTCACTCACGATAGATTTAAACAATGCTTCCTTGAAAAAGAAAGTTATTTTCATATTTGGCAACCTACGTGAATATTTTACTAGTAAAACAGATTTGCTCTTACGATAGCCAAAATAGCGTAGTTCCATGACAGCCCATGTCAGGGGATTATCAGCGTACAGAAAACGACCAACATGCGGATGAGCGGTGTCTGAAAAAAAGATGATAATGCTTTATTAGAAGTCTCGGTATTCAATTATAGTAGTATGGTTAAGTAAAATAAAGTATGAGCAAATAAGATAGGCCAATGTTTGCCTCAATTTGGTATGTAGAAAATTATAATTGATGCGTGCAAGAATAGGGAATAAGTTATACCTTTATACACGTGTACTTCATATTGTATGAAAGCTCTCAATACGCATTGCTTATTGATATCATTAACTCTCAAGCTTCACTAAGGCATGGCTTTGAGGAACCCATATGCATATTAAACCCATTCGATAAAAAGTTTTGTTGCCGTATAGCTCCTAGGCAAAAACTTCAATATCTTTCGCGGTGGAGCAGTTGTTATAGTTCAATCAGGCACGAACACGACCAGCGCTCTGAGCGATCCGTCCTTCATGGTCCGTGTTGAATAGTAGTGACATTTTCACTTTATAGAGCACCCATTGGGTTTGCTGCAACTAGCACATGAAATGAGGTTAGACGTTTTCTTTACAGCGGCTTCTAAAATACGAGTGCCATTTTGGTGTTCTTCACAGCCAATTGGCCTCCTCTAAAAGCGTAAGCGTTTCGATGTTAGAAGTGGCTGCATATTAACGCATGCTCTGCCGCGGTGTATTACCATTATCAGCCTGATTGGCCAGTTGCCAAAAAAGGCCCATCCTACGTTGAGTCCAAAAATAGAGAGAGAAGACAGAAACGCAGAGATATGCACACGAGCACCAACTCACCACCAATTTTATTTCCAGCAGTGGATGAAATACCTAAATGTACACACACACACACACATATGGCCCCCTATCTGCATGTTACAATGCAAATGTCGTCGAAAGACAATAGTCTTTTGTCTAGAGGGAGTGGACAAAACGTTTATTTGATGTTCTGCGCAAGAAAATTGGTGGATGGTATTCTGGAGGCACTGCGTTAGAGTGCCTCGAGCGTGCAGCGAAGGCGAACGAGCACATCGAGTCAAGTCACACGTGAGACATGAGCGCTATCTGGCAGTTACTTTGGAAAACGAAGCGCCCGCGCCCTGCGCGCCAGTCTCGGAGGTGATAAGGTGTAGAACGCAAGGCGACGGGTAGGTGCTGCTACCATGTCGTCTTAGCAAAGCGTTGGAAACACTTGCCTTTTCGTGCAAGCGTTGCATGGTCAGCGCAACGTGATAAACGCTACGGTTCTTAGAATTACTTATGTATGCCTTTTCTAGTAAGAGACACACATACGGAATATTGACGTGTTTTTATGGTGTCCCATTTTTTGCGCAATAATTGCTTTTTAATTGACAACCGCACAAGTATGAACACTGAACCTTGAACAATGTTGATGTGCGTTGCGGATGGGATTGGCCGCTTGGAGTAGAGTTTGGCCACTTTGGTGCCATTTACGGTACTCTCAAAGACGGAAAAACAGACAAATTTACGGACAGACAGACAGACAGACAGACCAAAATTTTTGCGTCGAAGGTCCGCAAGAAAGACTATATTCTTTAAAAATTAATAAATGTGGGAAACTTACAGTACCTTGTCCTGCGCTTGTTGCCGCTGCTAGCTCATCTCTCCATTTCCTGAACCATCAAGTGTAGGATAGCGAGCAGTAAGTCGTTCTTGTTAAGCTCCCTGCCTTCTCCGTTTCGGTCTGCCTTCATATCATGAACAATTTTTTTTCTGGGTCAGTGCTAGTGATACCATGCTAACACATGCGTCATACTGAAGTTTTCAGCTTCAATTATTTCTCGGATAAACTTGTCTGATGAGTGCTATAAATACTGTAATAACTCAAAATTGTGCAATGCTACATATACCCATTTTTCACATGAGTAAAATAACATTGTGGAACACAAGTAGGACAATATGTATTGAAATTTACTAATTAAAACTGTCATGCATGCTAAGTTGCTAGTGACTTATTATTAGGCATTTTTACTTGCATACCTATGAATCCCCAGCAACAGCTTGGAGTTGTCTTCACAAATTTAGGCACTACCTCCTGTCTTGAAAGCATGCAACGTTATTTACCATGCTGCGGTTGTCTGGTCATTCAAAAATAAACTGTAAGCGCCTGACACATCGTGACGTTTAAAGCCATGTGGTCGTGGTGCTGCTTGATGGTCTTTTTTGCTATTTTTGTGTGCTATTTAAACTTTTTTTCGATCCTCCTATATGACTCCTAAGTGCGACGAATATTTTAAGGTTCAGGCTTACAAAAATGACGACAGAAACTGTGAAGCGGAAGAGCTTTTAAGGAAATTTTAAGGTGTAGAATCAAAACAAAGACTAAATCAACGTTTTGCGGAGCCAAAAAATCCCATTGCCAATAGTAGGCACGCTAGTGGAAACTAGTGGAATGCTAGTGAAATCTGGCGTACCCTAGGAATCAGTGCTTGGACCTCTCCTGTTCGTTTTCTTTATCAATGAGATTGTGAGAGGTATAGTCCTTAACATAAAGTTATATGCTTATGACAGCGTTGAAAATTCTTAGGTAGAAAACAATAGCGACTGAAAAACGTTAAACGCCACCTTTCGAAAAATCATAGTTCGGTACGACTCTTGGCTGAAGAAGGTAAACTAAGAAAAACCAGTATTTATGCACATTTCACATGAAAAAAGAGCCCCATTTCTTCCATTATCATTGCAACAACCCCGTCCTTGCTGACGTACAATGCTATAAGTATTTTGGGGTTCACATAACCAACATTCCATCCTGCAATAAGCATATCGATTATGTTGTAGCGTGTGCTAACTGACGACTATATTTCCTTCGGAGAGGCCTCAAGAAAGTCATTCTTTTTGTTGTTTGCTGGCCAACAAATCTACAGTTCTGCCAGCACTGGATTTTGCAGTTTTAAGATCGGAACCTTTTACTTTGACGAACATCAGCATGATTGAAAACATACTAAAAAGGCAGCCTGCTTTATCTACAAAAGTTATGGTCTTACATCTGTAAGTACATTTCTGAATAAAGCTAAACTCCCTCCGAGAACTGACAAAAACACTGAATCTTTTGTGTAAAATATCTTTAATAATTATTAAACAAGCACTATAAGGTAGACAATGTCGAACTATTGCATCTTTTCCTACCGGGTATTTGACAAGGCAGCGCCATAAACTCTTTATCACACCCTTTCTGTCTCGAAATAACTGCTTCAAGTATTCATTTTTTTTTCGAAGACAGCCAGTGATTGGAACAACCTAACCATCGAAGTTGTTCTACAGCCATCCCTTGAAAAGTTTGCGTTATGTTCAATTTTGTAATATATATATATATATATATATATATATATATATATTGAATTCTGTGTTGTAGTCATTGCTGTTACTGTTGTTTTACATAAATTGTATAAAAAATTTCTTCCGCGATGTTTCTTCTACTGAAATATTCTTTGTGAACTGTATCATACTTTCGTATTTATGTTGAGGTTTGGAATCTTGTTTGCCTTGCTATACTTATGTTTGTATTTCCCACCCTGCTATAATCCTTCGCTCAGCATTTCTGTATTTAAAAATAAAAAGGTAAAATAAGTTACACGTCTTAGACACTACCCTTAAAGTCCTTTTGTCGGTATCAATATTACCGATAAAATCACTGAATTGATGACAATGTAAGCTTCGCTTCAAACAAGATAATGCTTTAACTCAAGTATTTGTATTAGCGTGGAAAAAAGATAATTCCCTGGCACGTTTTCGTGGACATGGTGTCGCGAACACTAAGCTTTTGTTTGAGTATATGATCCACAATGAAGTGTGATTCATCGCTTCCTGGCTTCCTGTGATTTTTAGTTTGTGCAGCAGGACCGAATATTGAATAGCACCTAATTTTAACAATGGAGGTGGGAAAGAATAAAAGTTTACGACACTGAAAATGGCTCAGGTGAGGGCGGAGTGGGCTAAGGAATGGGCCCTCAGGCCGCTCTAGGTGGCCGAAAGTCCTTGCGCTTCAGCGACCCTCATGGCCCAGCCCACGATCTCACGTTGGTCTTCTGGTCGTGAGCTGCGCAGAGCAGCCTCCCAACGCTCCTGTTACTCAGCCACCGCAAATAGGAGATTGTGCTTGCCGGCCAATTTCGACATTTACGATTAAAATCGGCTCGAAGACTCGAGTGAAGACAACATTGAGGCAAGGCCTCACCCAGTTTAATTCGAGAATTCATGAATTGATAAATTAATTCGCTCCTTTGGAATCCGCGCCGAACAATTTGTTCAGCCCGAGCAACTCTTCTTCTATTTTATCAATGCCAGACAAATGCGCGCTCCCCAATCGTTCATTACCCTCTCCTCTAGTCTTTTCCTGCACTCGGCCATTGCCTAGCTCACACGTGTGTGTTGTGGTCATGGAGGAGAGAACCCCTCAATCAGTGCCTCACGATGGAAATCACAAGAAGTAGTTTTTGTTAGTTGTGTATAGATCCGTGGGGTGGCATCTTGCATTCCTCGTGGTAACCGTATAGGTGGTCTTGCTGACTGTGTAAAAGGTGCGGTGTTTTGAGACAACGTGTCGCCGTTCGTGGTGCTATGCAGGCAGTCACTGGAAAGGCGTCACTGCAACGCTACGACCTGTGCTCCGCTATGATATGGTGGCGGCGTTGGTTCGAGCTACAAATAAGGAGCAGGAAGAAAGAAATATGTACAAGCATAATATTGAGGTGGAAAAACACGTCTTTCCAACTGCGGTGGAAAGTGCTCGGAAGCACATGTGGCTCAAGCAGCGCTACTCATCATGTAGCTTCATGACCACACCTTACCTAAGAGGGCCAGACGGCTCCTGCTGAGAAGCGCGCGTTTGCACTGGTTTTGAAAGATAGAAAAATGCATTATCCTGAGAAAGCGAATAATGTGCAGGGGAACATATCATGCTAAAGGTGTGGCTATATAATGTAATTTCATGGTAGAATAGTAAGCATTCCCGCACGCTTTGATAGGCAGGCAGAGCGTCTCCTACCCGATTGACGGTACTCGGGCTTGTTCATGAAGGTCTAAATTCCCGCGATAT